GATGGTCGAAATTCCCTGGATATCAATGGACAAAGACTTGCTTCTTCCTAACTTGGGTAACCCAACTACCAAGACTCGAATCATCAATCTTAATCATGCCGCTTTTCACATTTTCTCTCTCAAATTTGAATCAACTGCAAAATTTTCTTGGATTTCCATACACTTTAGAGTGTTTACTACATGCCTATGTAAATTATTCCTTGCTAATTCCACTCTTTTCCACTGTATTTCTCAATTCAAAACATGAATACCATGAACTTTGCCTCACAGGTTCTTAAATGGAAATTAAATCCCTATGAGGATGGAGCATGTTGTGAGCATTCCATGTTTTATATGTAATGATGTCTGAGATTGCTTGTGAAATAATTGGGTCCAATGATTATGTGAGCAGGGGGGGGGGGGGGGGGTGTTTATGAATAATAAGTATAAGAAATTAACCACAAACCTGTATATCATATCACTAACAAAAAATAAGATTTATTTTGAATTTTACAAAAATTGATGCAACTTTCTTCAAAATTGAGCCAGAAGCTTCAAATAAAAAGCATTTTAAAGCTCTTTTATTCTTCTCTCTCTTATTGGGAATGCGGGGGGGTCACTCCCATTTCACCCACCCCTGGCTACGCCTGCTTCTCAACATGAACGATGTAATCTGCCACAGATAAACATGTTAAGAATCATCGAAATGTGAACACCTTCCAATCAAAACAATTTTGGTCTCAAAGTTGTTTTGATTAGAAAAGTTTACTGCAGTTCCACGGATACAATTATTGTACTATAGTACCAAGTATTTGTAATGTCAAGTAATCTAAAGAAACTTCGATACCATATATTCTACATCATAGTGATGTACATGTAAAAATCTAGAATTTCAAGAGGATTTTACCAAAGCAGTCCTACTAACTAATACTAGATATTTTTCTTTCTCAAGAGAAAAACCATGGATTCCATCCCCTATCAACAAAGGAGTTGAGTTTAAATACTTAATCCTCGTAGCTACTTACCATACAAATATTGGTATACTTTAATTCATGATTTCAAAGTGTCTGATTAAAGGGTATATTCTTACATTTCTTGGATAATCTATAAGTAAATATTAAACAAGAACAAAGTAAGAGTCTATTAGGAAACAAAGGAGTGCGATTAAGTGTGTAAATCAGAAATTCACTAAAATAAAGTAAAACCTTGATTATAACTTGGTTTCACTTTAAAGTAAACTTCGTATTCCTCCGATTGACTCCAATGTGAAAATTCTTTAGGTTTCAATTTCTCAATGGTATAAACCCAAAAATTGGATAACAGAAGGTAAATTACAAACGAATCCACATAAATTATTTTTGATTATAGTAATTTTTCTCTAATATAAATTCTACCTGAGTTAAGCTAATCAAATACAGCAGATAAAATCAATTAATGCCAATAGTAATATTAATGCAATTTTCAGCTTATTTCAATACTGTATAAAACAAAGTAATTAGTTCTCATTTTTGACCAGTATAACAAAGACCGGATAAACCTTCATGAAAATTACATGTCAAATGATATAGAACTGCTCAATTACCGATCATAAAAATATTAGCTTCATGTTTTCTTGAGAAAAATGCACAAAGTGCCACTTAAGGCATCTTGATCTATTCAAACACTGTGCATTATTATACTGTTCCTTTAAATTGTAATATAACCTGATATACTAGTAAGGTAGAATCTCATCCATGATTGCAATATGCCTGACATCTCCAATATATCATATACCTGGTATATACAACATATACATCACAGTAATTGCATCGTGACTGTCATGTGCCTTGTATTATAGTACAATTTACCATGCAAATGATATGTGAAATATAGAAATAAGGGGTGTGGTTGATGGTGTGGCAGGATGGAGAGGTATGGTGTATCCTCACAAAAATATAAGTCCATATTTGAATGAATTGTCTCTTGTCAGTAAAACAAACACATTCATATTAAATATGAAAATAGGGCAATATTATCCATCAACATCTGATCTCATATCATCTCAGGTTTTTTATATTTCTTGTTGACAGACAGAGAAAGGTGAATCACAATGGCCAAATTATGTCATGTATTTAAGTCACTATTTACTTTTTGAGTTAGAAACTGGATTTACAGAAAACCAAAGACATAAATAATGGCCCCTCACAGGCCCCAGAAACCAACACTTTAAACAGGACTCCAGCAGAGTCATGAACAGTTAGAAAGACACAAATTGCCTATATTCACTGGAATATTCACCACATTCACAGTCATCAAGCAGATAATTGAACCAATTCTCTCATGAACTGTTTTCAACAGGTCACTCAAGTTTTGATTTTCATGTGAAAAAACTTTAGTAGTAAAATGTTCATAGAACTAAATCGTTTCCAGTTGACCTTTTTGAATCAGTATCTTAAATATCCCATTGAAACCTCGCTCTTTTTACTATTATATTTGAAGGGCTGATCATTTTTGTAAGGGTTTCAACATTTGGTCCAAACCTGTGTTAAATTACCACTAATTTGGAACTTTATTTTGACCACACTTTCAAATATATCTAACTCCATCCTACCATAATAAATGGTTTCCTGTCTTTTCTGAACCACAGGCTTTCTGTAGAAGAAATGTTTGAAAATGATTATATTTTGGAAATGACCGGTTGTGGATAAGAATATACCATGAAGCTTGAGATAATAGGAGACTTTATGGGGAATATATGGGTCATTAACGAGCCAAAATGTCAAAAGCAATATGTTTGAAATCTTTCTGGTTGTCTGTTGTTTACTGAAGGAACTTCATACCCTATAGAAATAACTTTTCCTCTTTCAGAATTCAACATATTTTTATGATAGTAAATGCTATAAACTTTATATATAGAATAAGTTACCATATTGACTTTTTTCCACTGATAAATTAATTGATATTAGAAGTGAGCGTTTAATTTTAAAACAGCTATCATTCAACTTTACCATAAAACACAACTATCAACAGAAAATATTAATAAATATAGTGTTATACATACCCATGTTTGTTTATGCTACGCTATTCCAAACCAAAATGCTATACGAAGTCAAAGGCCTCAAGCAGTGAGCGACAGTTAAATTCCACTAATCTTTGAAAATCTCATTACAGTTACACATTCAATACGAATGTATAAATCAAACTTGCAATAATAATGAATAACTTATAGAATTGAACAATTCTTTCCAATAACTGTTTTTCTTAAGTGTTAATCCAACCCCAAGCAGTTTCTGGATGTCGTCTGACAAAAGCACTGGTGCATTATGGGTAATGTATCCCAGGCACTGGTATGGAACTCAGCCAACTGTTATTTCAACAAATGTGATTGCAATTATTGTTACCAATAAACCAGTTTCTAATTATGCCTATGTCTTATACCAATATCACGGCATGCTAATATAATACAACAATAGCAATTGAAGAACAATCAAAAGCATGGAAAGAAGAGGAGACGATAGAATTAACAGAGAAGCAAGAATGTGAACATGAAAATGTCAATATCAAGATTGAATGAGAAACAATTTTGAGACATCCGAGAAAAGATTCATTAATTATGCAACATAGTTTGAAACCACTTCAATAATTAATTAATAATTAGCATAACATCAACACCAATATTTGCTTTCCTTCCGATGATGATAAGTCCAAGTTGCATTCTTACATTTCTTTTATGAATAGACGGAGCTATATAATTTACATTTTGCTTTATTTCATCTCGTCTTTTTCTTCCTAGTTGGAATAAAACATTATTGCAGATCAAGTATTTCTCTCTCTTACAGGCAATATTTTGGCTCATAAAACATGAACGACCACAGTAACTTTTACTTCACATATCTATGAGCCAGTGGTCTATCTATCTTCTCAAGAACCAAACCCCATTTGGTTAAATACACCCTTTTCACCAAAACAATTCAAGTGATGATACGTTTCTTTTTTCATTTTGTTCCAGCTTCTTTACCAAATACAATCATGTTTTATACCAGTGACCAGTCATGCCACCAGGTACAAAATAATTTGTAAGGATCTCCTGGAGAAGAAGGGGGGATACCTCTTTTACGAATTAATTATCAATGGTCTTTCAATATAATTCTTATTCGGTATTTTTATTTATTTGGATATACACTATTTATAAAGGTGGCACTTTAATACTATTCATTATCATTAATATAGGGTGCATCCATTTCTGAAACCATGATCTCAAATAATATACTTCTCTTTAGAAAATGTATCATGCCTCTCAACAATATCAGTATTACTGTTTATAACACCAACTGGTGGTAAAATATCACAATGGTCAAGTTTCACACTGAGACATATACACATAAAGAGAGGAATTACCATGGAATGGAATACATAGGCATGTAGCTGATACTCTAAATTGTGTAGAAATGCGAGAAAATCTAGAACTTCATTCAAATTTTAGAGAGAAATGAGTGGAATAAGCATGAGCAGACGGACATTCATCTCCAGGTTGCAATCAAGTTTTATGTTCAACATGTCAAGAAAGAAACCTGCTATCTAAATATTTATTCCACAATATAGCATTTCTGTTTTTATATCTTTCTGGTTTACCAATTGTGAAACCATATTGTGACCCAGAACATAATAGCTTTTCCCAGAGCTCAGGTTTGGAGAAAAAAAACAAATAAAATAATTAACCTTCCAAAAATACTGAGCCAATGACAAGTGACCTCTCCTTTTTTTCCTCGGACCTTATCAGTGAATAATAAAAATGAAGATCAAGACAGGGTCTACATGAAAACTCCCAACATATTTATACACTAGTGACATCTATTTAATAGTGCAACTATCGAATGCATTTTCACTCTTTACATTGGGAGACATTTATGTAAGTGCTGCCCTCTTTGATACTTTGAGAAATCAAAAGCATAAATCTGAATTATGTGTTTCAAAATACCAAAATAAAATTAAAAATACCAAGAAATCTTTCAGCCTGTGATTGGTCGAAAATTTGAACTTACCTATGGCAGCCGATGCTGCTCTACTGCAAACATCCCGTCGAGTTTGATGACAGAATAAAACTTGCACATATTTCACGCTTGCATCTGTAATCTGCAGACTTCCACCAGCAGGTGGTGCACACTCTTCGTACAACTTCCAGTTGTTATTATTAGAGCTAGTGAGGATTCTAACACAAACATTGTCAGTTGTTGTTTCAAATGTGATGGTTCTTGTATCAGTGTCGTACTTAACATCTTGGGCAGTTGGCAAGGCAAGGGCTGAAAATGTAAAATCACAAGTCATAAATTTGATTTAATGATTAATCAACTTAAATGAAAGTCGTATCTGACTAAGCATGTACTACTGCAGAAGGATTTAAAGAAAAACAATCAACAATTCAATGAGTATTGAAAGAGTACTATTTGTGGATAAGAGATAAGATGTCGTTCAATATTCCAAATACTCTATTTGCAATCTCCTACGAGAAACTTTTATCATGTAAGTCCTATTCACATGTGAGTATTTACTCAATATCTATATTTACTCACATTTTTGTTGCGAGTTTTCACCACTCACATTAAGTTGTGAGTATTTACTCAAAATCTAAATTTACTCACATTTAGTTGTTACTTGGATACTGTTGGAATATGGTCCACCACCAAGCCTGTTCTCTCCAAACACCGAGAATGTGTAGTTGGTGTTTGGGTACAACACTGAAAAATAAATTCAACAATCTATATTTGTATTTTGTTCATGCTTTGTAGGGGTTTTTGAGCATGTAATTATGGTTTTTATGTTGCCTTTCACCAAAATTAAGAAATTTTGCTTGTTATTTTAAAATATTTCTCCATAAAAATCAGATTTTTTCAGATAGATGTACATGAAAAGGTTAACAAGATTTTATCATTTGACCTGGGAAAACATGTACAACATAGAAAAGTGAACAAATTTTCATTCGATCAAATTATTGATTGAACAAATTGTCATTTGAACAATGTTATTCTTGATCATAACTTACTTGTAACATTATAGGTGGAAGCACCATCTGGGTTAACAGGTACCCTCTTGTTTGATTCGCCATTGAACTGTGTGAGCACAAAAGTCTGTGGGTGACCTCCGTCAAATCCTGGGACCCAGGAGAGTTGTGCTGACTCCCAAGTTGTCTCAACGAGTTGTAAACCCGAGGGGGCATCAGGGGTGGCTGTAAATGAAAAAATCAGATTTTAATTTACTTAAAGATATCAACATCAATGCGAATGGAGAGGTGTTTGATTTAAGATTTTCTGAACATGAGGAAATCAATAAGTTAGCAACAATTTTAAAATTTCAAGGTAATGACGATAGAGAGGTTTCACTGTTTAGTGTTAATGATCAGTCTTTCTCAAAAAATGAGATTAAGTTAATACGGACAAAACTGGATTATTATATAAAACCAATCTTTTAAAATTCGCATAAAAATAGTGTCTTAAAAGAGTGAGAATATAGTTCTCTCATTTGTAAAGAAGTTGTAGAAATGTCAGATATGTACTGAGCCAAATTATATACAACAGAACTTGATCTTTAAATACACTTAAAGAAACACTTACTTTTGACAGTCAGGTTAACCATTCTATGATTGCTTCCGAGAGTATTCACTGCGTGGCACCTGAAGTTGCCGAAATCTGCTTCCATCACGCCCGTAATATTCAATGTACTCATGACCTGATTGGTTGATATTTTTGTGACTGTTGCGATATCATATTTCCCGCCATGGATGATGAGCTCATCGCCTTTGTACCATTGAATCGTTGACAAGGGGAGGGATTGAGCGGTGCATGCCAGACTGGCGGTGTCGTTCTTGTCAACGGCAACTTTGGCATCTGGGGTTGTGACTTCAGGTGGATCTGAAAAATAGTAATTAAAATGAAAATGTAAATATGTATGAATGATGATCAGGTAAGACAAGATTATTATTTTTGAAAACTCTTAGCATATTTCTTGCTTCTAAACTTAGTATATTACTGTGGTTGCAATGTAATATCTAACATAATTATGTTGATAATGTATTTTGTTTTATTCATTGAATTTATTAATTGAATGATATTTAATCTTACATTGAATGAAAAGCTGCATGGATGACGTCAAACATGTCCCAGACTGCATCAGGCTGTTAGTCGCACAGCAGGAATAGTTCCCAGAATCCCCCTTGGTCAATCCTTCACCATTTCGTCCTGGTCCATTCAACCTCAATGTACTTATAACATGAAAACTATGCTCTTCAATCGTAACTTGCTGCGTGTCAAATGTGTACAAATCAGATATCAGCGCAATTCCATTCTTTGACCATGTGACCTGGGGTGAGGGTTTCCCGCGTACTTCGCAGCGAATGGAGAAGTCACTCTCAGATACATTGATGGTTTTAGTCTGAGGCAGAGGGGGGATGTTCTGTAGCCATCTTGGTAATTCTAAAACAAAGTATGGTAGTTCATAGAGAAAAATTTCCAAAACACAGGAATTTTATAAAAGGAAAATTCAAAACAGAACAGGCTTGAATCTTATTCTCGAAAGTGTGACAAACTTATGAAATAAAACAGAAACTGTTAAACTTTTTTATTTTTAATTTTCAATGGAACTTTTTTTCATTTTACCTGTATTTTATTATTTCAAATTGTGATGTATAAAAACTAAATAAATTCATAGAAACATAATTTGTAATGCAATTTGCAAACCAAACAAGTAACATACCTTAAATGAAAAGAACCATAAATTCAACAAAATTTGACTTAAGAGGCAATATGTTAAATTTCTTTTCGGTTAAATATATTTTGAAGGCAAATTACCATATTGCCTCTTTAAATCATATTTTACATTACCACAATCTCCTATGTATGAAATATATACATAATGCCAAAGTCCCTCAACTGAACAAAATCAAAAAGTTAAAAATAATTTTTACAAACACCAAAATCTATAGAGCTAGCATAAATATAGATCAAAATTAGCATGTACTTCATACGGGAAAAATAATGTTAGGCAATAGATAAGAACCAGATACAATCCTAGAATAGGAATTACTGAAGTCAGACTGTATCATAAGGACTTTCTCTGTACCTGTAGTCAATATGTTAAATCATTTTCCAGAACAAAAGTTGTTGTTAATATAGTTAGGACACATTCTCAGGGCCCTTTTGCCAATCTTTATTTCCAATGAACAAGTAATTGACTTACCATTGACTGTTAATAAGACACTACCAGAAGGTCCTTGTCCAACATCATTCTTTACTGTGCAGACATATCTTCCATTATTACTTATAGATGTCGCTGCTATGGTATAGGTGGCACCAATGTGGAGGGGCAGAGCCCCAGGAGAGGCATCCTCTCTCTGCCATACAAAGTCACCCTCGGGAACACCTGAATTGATATATTCTCAATAAATACTGTGTTAGAGGCTCCAAGGCCTTAAAGGCCCCATATAAAGTTTAAACCACTTTGGCTTATATTGTAGTCTTACCCAATGTTATCAAAGTGTGATATGTGAAACTTTTTTTTTTAATTTCAAAAAGTGGTTTTTGATAGACTTTTTGTTCCAAAATTTGTGAATATATTTAAAACCAACTTTTAGAGGTCACTCATATCTTCTAATTAGCCAGAATTGACACCAATGCATAACATTCATCCTCCCATGTTTTTTGCCGAAAAAATTAAGAAAATCGCTTCATAAATAAGCGAGAAATGAAGTTATCAGTGCATGAAAATGGTTCTGAGAAAAATGCATTTCAAAATTTTAGTTCTCATAGAAACCAATGGTACAATGATATCTAAAACATAATTTATTCTTCCTTTTAACCTGGTTAGACAATCAACATTGGTTTTTTATGAAAGTCTAACATATTTAGAAAAGATTGACATCGAAAAAAAAATTTCAATTTTTTTCAAAAAGTTTTTGGTACCTTAGTGACATCACTAATGTTTCAAAATATTTTTGATATGTTAAAACATTGAAGTGGCCCATTAAATATGGCATTTTATTATTGAAATAGTGTGTCCTTTGTTCAACCTTTGCATTGGTGTTAAAAATATAATCTTTTTTGAAATGCATTAAGAAATATTTGATGATTAAGAAATTTCAACTTTTTTTGAAAAATTGCGGGAAATTTGAATATTTGAGAAATGAAATGCTCACAACTTTTTTTCAAAATTTTTTTTTTGTTCAAAAATCTCTAAAATCACTTTTTAAGTCCTGACAAATAGTAAATGAATGATAAAAAAATATTTTCAAACTTTAGACGGGGACTTTAATGGTGACATTTGAAACTCATGTGTATGATTGCATAATATGATTTGATTTATGTGGTGTGCATTTGATCTTTAAGATAATCTCAAATGAATCCATATTTTAGATAGATGTTCATATCATAGAATAAAAGATAAGTGTTCACATAAGAAATAAGTGTTCACATAAAAGATAAGTGTTCACATAAAAGATAAGTGTTCACATAAAAGATTATTGTTCATATAAGAGATAAGTGTTCACATGAAAGATTATTGTTCACATAAAAGATAAGTGTTCACATAAAAGATAAGTGTTCACATAAAAGATTATTGTTCATATAAGAGATAAGTGTTCACATAAAAGATTATTGTTCATATAAGAGATAAGTGTTCACATAAAAGATAAATGTTCACATAAAAGATTATTGTTCATATAAGAGATAAGTGTTCACATGAAAGATTATTGTTCACATAAAAGATTATTGTTCATATAAGAGATAAGTGTTCACATAAAAGATAAGTGTTCACATAAAAGATTATTGTTCATATAAGAGATAAGTGTTCACATAAAAGATAAGTGTTCACATAAAAGATAAGTGTTTACATAAAAGACAAGTGTTCACATAAAATATTATTGTTCATATAAGAGATAAGTGTTCTCATTAGCAATCAGCATTGCTCTCTGGTCATACCTCTGTCTGAAGTTGAACAGCTCAATGTGACGGAGTTTCCTTTGATGACATCCTCCACTGGATCTACAACTGCCTGTCCTGGCAGGTCTGAGAATGAAATAATAAATAGATGTAAATACATGAAACAAAATTCTGCATCAATTCCAATAGTAACTTGATATTAAATGTACGAGGCATTAACATGCAAAATGCCACCACCTGCCATTTGTTACAGATGCTGAACGCCAACCGCCAAAGACTGTCCATTTATGGTGGTGACATAAAAATTCAGTAGTATTTGGAAACAAGAGTAACATTTAAGCAGAAATTATACAAGAATTCTTCATTTAAAGATTTTTACAAAATGTGTGGCATTCACATTGTAAGAATACTTCCTTTAACAAATTCCACAAATTTATATACTTACATTGCACAATAACTGTGATATCTTTTGTTGATGTCACAGAAGTCATTTGGCCACCAGATGGAGTTAACACAGACTCTGAGATGCACTGATACGTCCCTTCTTGTGCTCTGGAAATTCCCGGGAGGCTTAGAATGTGACTTTGAAAGGTCGTTAGGGAGCTCAAATGTTTCCAATAAAGGGTTGTTTCTGCAGGGTTGGCGTCAATGTTGCAATATACATTCAGGTTTTGGCCCTCATCGATGGTGTATGTATCAAGGGCTGTGGTCAACTTTGGGGCATCTAAAATAAAGATTATGTTCCAATATAAAAATAATTAGCAATGTATCAAGTTTTACAATCCATGAAATTACGCTGCACTTATCATTTCAAGCTAATTGAAATCTAGTTTATGCAAAACAAATAAAAGTAACTCTCTAATTCAAGATGCTATGGGCCTCACAAGTGAAATACATGTACATTTTAATTTTGGGGGTATTTCAGATATATTTTGAAGCTGCTCAACCATACGTTGTATATAACCTTACACTATATTTTTAACTCACACTAAATATCCAATTACACTACATTTCAAAATCGCACTGGTATCAACATGCACTATATTTCACTTTATTTACACTATACCAAACTTACATTGTATATCTAGGTGAACAGATGCCTGTGTTTCTGCCAAAGCATTGGTTGCAATACATGTGTAGTTTCCACTTTCGCCACTGGATGCACTAGGTCGGCTGATCACATTGCTTGTTTCTGCAAGTATAGATGTCAGTTTGAGGGATTGCAAAAGTGATGGTACAATCACATAAAAATGGGATAAGAACATATCGTTATATGAGTACCATATGCAAAACAGTAAAATCACAGACTGATACAATAAGAAACACTGTGAAAAACTCTGGAGTCAAAATCTTGCATTTCCTAGACTTAAAAATGATACATAATGCAAATGTATTGAAATCACACACTTCTGGAAACAATCTTAACAGTAACTTCACAGTGATCTAAAATATCACCCTCAGATGAATGAATAGGGACCTGATTTTAAAATCTCAAATGAAGTAGAAAAGAGTGGAATTAGCAAGGAATAAAATAAACAGGCATGAGGCCAATACTCTAAACTGTACAGAAATGCAAGAAAATCAAGGAGTTTATTCAAATTTTAGAGAGAAACAGAGTGAAAAAGCATGAACAGACGGATACTAAGACCTGTCTAGATTATCCCCAGATTTCTTGTTATAGAACCCTTGAACTTGTTAAGATACTGGAATTCGGTTTCACAATACTGTAAAATAAAGTATCTTTTTCTAATGACCTTTCACAATTTATAGTATCGAGTTCAGTAGATATTCAACAGACAAAATGTGTGCTTTCTCTCAATAATGAACAAAAACAGAATCTTTAAAGTTGTTCAATTTGAAAAATTATGTCATCGTATTCTGAGGACTTCAAATCATACAAAATAGTTTTCTATCAAAAATTTGAACAAAAAAGCTTCCTTTTCTTAAAAATACAGCATCACTCTCTGATAAATATAATATTTGTTAATAATATTTTTATATAGGCGTGCTCACCTCCCAAAGGTGTTCCGTCTTTCTCCCAACGTATAGATGTCGCTGTAGGGTTAGCGTCAATTGAGCAAGTGATTGTGACATCATCACCTTCAATAACCTGCAGTGGGTTGAAACTTCCCAGAGATAGATAAGGCTTATCTGAAATTAAAATGTAGTTTTGTTTTACAAAGTGTTCAACAAGTTCTGATAAATCAATTGTAACTTCTCATTTTTCTAAATCACCGAGGTACGACTTTTCTGAAAAAACAAACAATTTATTTGTTTCAAATTTTATTGTCTCCACTCTTTGGAGGAAACTCATGGTATTGTTGGCGTAAGATTGACAAATCTGAAATACGAGGACCCAATGGGGAAAATGAGAATTTGATAATGTTACCCATTGTGAGCCTCAATATTAGGGATCATATACTTACATTGAACAGCAAGTATTCTTTCAGACTTTTTCTCAGGTCCGTCCTTGTTTGCCTCATTGATGACATCACAATCAAATGTTGCATCATGGTCCTCCTTCGTAACAGTCCTTGTTATACGATGTGTGCTCGTACCTTGTTTTACTGAGGCATTTATTACCTCACCCTCAGGGAGAATCTCCCCATTGCGACGCCACGTCATAACTGGGATTGGGTTACCATTACTTGTTGAACATGTTAATTCGACATTATCGCCCTCTTGGAGAACTGTGGATGGGCTTTGGGTGATCACAGGCACATCGGGTACAACTGAAATCAGAGAACAAGCATATGAATATAGGATGCAAATATAAGAGCAATGATGATGCACGAGTCGCAACATCTGAAAATATAATCTAAAGCCCTATAAATCATAGAAAGTGCCCAAGTTATACATGGATGTTATATGGATGAGAGTAAAGCAAATAATGAACATGAAGGAGATGCTATCAAAGAGTCTGTGGTATACAGTTCTGTAAAAACTAAGTGTGTTCAGGAAAGCACTGAAGCTTGAGTTAAAGAAGCCAAAAATATTGAAACTGATTCATGAACACACTGAAGAAAGTATCAATTAAATCTAACTTATGCAACATTTTTGTAATGTAATATTTTCTTATGGAGAACCCATAGAACCCCACTAACTGCCTTTCCTTTCTACACTTTCTACACAAAGAATATTTTCAACACTTGATGGGATTAAAAACTACAGTTGGCACAATATTCTGTAATCTACTTGACCAATACTTAACTTATACCAATATCAATTTAAACAATATTATCCTGTTATTTTAAGTTAGAGCACAATTCTTACAGAGCCTTTCAAAATCAATTTTCGTTCCTAACAATGTTAACAAAATTGGGCTAACGCTTTAGGAATCTGATGTTCTATTCTTTTGAATAAATAAGATTTTGAAAGTCTTAAATTGATTTTAGTTCATGAAAAAAAGAAAATATTTGTTTAAGGAGATTATAAAAATGAGATATTCTGATACTGTATCCTGTGTATAAGGCATAGATCTATATGAGTATACTGAATTAATTTTGAATTCTTATTTTACACCCGAGATCCAAGATACAACATTTTTATTAAAACCATGTTTAGCTTGTAAATAATCAAACAGTTTTTTATGTTACAAATAATTCTGACACATCTAGATGTCTTTATAAGTTATCTTCTAAAAATCAAAACACTTTGTTTTCAAAATAAAATTAATAAATATTTGAATCAGATGAAATCTCTTAAAATACAGAACCTCTACAGGTGACACTATTGACGATAGAACTACTTCATAGCGATACAGTCATAAACAAAATGACCATTTGTTTCTTTGTTTTTTAACACCACAGTGTATTCAATTTGAGCCAGTTTTAAAATCATGAATTTTAATTTAACACACTTTGAATAAAGCACCTGCCGAGTGGGTTAGTTAGGTCCGATGAAAAGAACACTGGAGACAAGTTGACCCTTCAGCTTTATGCGTCTTTGTTTTTGATCACATTGGGGCTATGATAAATCAAAGTTTGGTCAAACTTCAGAAATGAAAATGTTGAGATCACCTTTGTTGTAAAAATCAAGAACCCTGGTAAAATTATGAGTTGCCAAAATAGACATATTTATCAAATTTCAAAATTGGCTAACATGTTCTAGCCTTAAAACTGTACTATTAGCCTGCAAAATATAAAGGTACTTTAACCATATTTTACATCCAACCCCCTCAATACATCCCTCAAACCTAATCCCCGGCACTCACGACACACATCTTGACACAACAGAAATGGGAGACATATAGCATAGCAAAACCTGTATATCTAAACACCTCTGCAATCTGAACAGCTCTGAATATGAACACCAAATTGTCTACATGTCCAAATTGTCCAAATTTTGTTATATCCTTATTAAGCAATCTTGAAATAGGAATACCAGTATAGCTGGGTAACCATATGGGGAAATGAACCAGAGCAAAAAATAAGGGTCAAAACAAGGACATATTATAACACCCTTGTCTTATACAAACTGTCATTATTGTGGCTACTGAGGAGGAATCACGAGTCAAAACATAGCATTTTATTTTCTGAACTGGGAGCCACCATATACATCTCATTAACTCCAACATAAACTGAAAATACAGTTACTATGGTGATCATATTTCTATATAAGGGTTTTGATGAGTTAGAATACAGTATGGGTCCCAAGAATTTATTTGATGGATGTCATGTGTCATTGTATCAAAGCTCTTCTGGCACAGGCTCTTTTCTCCTAATTTGGTATCAACTTCATCTATCATCTCTTTAAAAAGTAGTTTCATTAAAATCATGGTGAGGAAATTTGAATTCCCATTCCTCATCTTTCTGTTGCATTTAAACTGACAAGAAATTATTATGATATGTTTTATCATGATCATGTTAGAAGTTATCTTAAATTCAACCCCTAGCCCCAATCTTTGGTTTCCAAAGTATGAATTCTCATTGAACGCACTGGTAAGCAAGTATGTCCGTTCTTTCCAACTGTCTATTTGCCAGAAACATTGTTTGAGGAACAGAAGGGGACGGGAAGGAGTGAGAAATCAAAAGTCAACAAGATAAAAGATAATGGCAACTCCGCGGAGTAGCAAATCCCAACGAACAAAATATCAATTACCGAATTCCAATCAATTATACTCATTACTTTGGTTAAAATTGAAAAATTTAGATTTTAGAATTGCGAATTCCTGCAAAGCAGCCATTTTGAATTTTCTGAGGTACAAATCTGAAGAATAATACCATAATTGTGATCTACTCCAAAATTCCTTCAATTTGAGTATAATATAGCCATACTTTGAAGGAATCGAAAAATTATTGCGAAATCGTACATCATAGACAGCCATTTTGAATTTTACGAGGCTCGAATCAGAAAAAGATACAATATTTGCAATCTACTCTAAATTGCCTTTCATTTGAGTATAATAAAGCTATACTTCAGAAAGATCTAAAAATTAGCGAAAATTACTGTTTTCCTGACCCCCCATACACGGCCCCTGGGGGTCAGGATGAAAAACACGGAATATATATGAAATAGATAGATGTTGCAAATATACTACCAAAATTTCAAACAATAATATTAATTACTTTGGTTTAGAATGAAAAATTTATGATTTTTGCGAAAAAGTCCCGTCATTTTTAAAGCGGCGGCCATCTTGAAAAATTTTTTTTTGCGTACAACTATTCACCAATATACATCTTTCCACTAAATATGAAGAAAATCCGTCAACTCGTATTTGAGTTATCTTCCGGACGGACGGACTGACTGACTGACGGGCGGAGGGCTTCACTATATCCCTACCGAACTTCGTTCGTTGGGATAATAAAATGATATGAAACCATGGGGGTAAAACTACAAAATGATAGCTTCAAAACCTAAATATCCAATGAAACCATTGTCTTCTTAAGAGCAGATGTTACTAAATTATTACCAGTGTCCAGACAGAATAACAACAAAAGATCCTTTCACCCATAAAACCATATTGACCATCCATAGATGTTGCCTCCTTTGTGCATGTAAAAACAGCCTCGGGACAAATATACACCCAAATATGGTAAATTAAACCCGAAATTCCCGCTATGAAAACCATTGATTAATTTAGCAGCTAACCAAGCCAGGAAAGTACTTTGATACCAAAATGGCCATAAAAGTGAAGTGAACCTAATGAAAAGCTGCATGCGTTGTGCGTGCCACTGAAAGATGTTAGTTTATGGAAGCTATTTAAAATTGTCCCCGGTGTGACAAGGTAATTTGTTTGGACATGTGTAGATCTTGCTTTGCATCCAGGGGGCATGGGGTATAAAATGATCCCAGTAGATTCTAAATCTGATTTGATGACATAGCAGATGCATCTGTGGTATCCACAGCCTCAGCTTCTCATTTCACGAGCATTAGGCCAAAAGAAACTCATTCTGGTAACTTACCACAAGCTCTGGGAAATCATAATACAGAGGAATCATTTTAATGACATATTTCAAAAATCTGAACAAATAGTAAACCAATCTTAAGAACTTTTCTATTCAAGTGACACAAAACAATGTAGATGAGATTTCCAAAATATAAAAGCATGGAGGCTCACTTGTTTATATCCTCAATGATTAAACTCAATATTGAATCAAAGTGGTAAGGGCATATGAGGGCATAAAAATGTTGGATGTCCCAAATATAAATCGAGTCCCCTATAATTTCAAAGTAATAAACTCGTAATTACAGTCTCTATCAAATTATAGGTAGAGTAGATTTATCCATAGATATGATACAGACCATATGCCACAAAGAAGTATCCATATTTTAACATGCTCATGGTTTCAAGATACTGTATCTGTTTTATTTAAAGATGGGGCACCTCTTAAACTTCTTTCTCAAAATTTACAGTTCACATCATAGTAGGCCAAAAGCAATTATTTACACATAGGATTGAGTGTCTAAAAAATCCCCCCCCCCCAAAATGTATATTTCTATCCATATTTTAAATTGGCATATTTGTTGTTTTAGGTGGGGAGGACATACAAGATGAAGTCACTTGCATATTAACACACCAAACTCAAAAAGGTCCATCGCTACCTACCTTAATTTTTATTCATTATTGTAAGCTGTGATTTAAAAGATGATTCTCATACAGCAAAAGACATAAAGCAGATCTTGCACAGAGTAAAGGTGGAAAGATAATTCACAAGTGTGCAGACAGACAAATATGTAATGTTTAGTAAATACTGACATTCAATAAGTTATGAGAAAATGTAAATAAAATAGCATTTTTTATAAACATTTCATGTATTTTATCTTGATTCGATGATTCGTTTATGTCAATAAGTAAATACTCAATTTTGATTGATTTTTTAAAAGTGAACAATATTGACTATTGACTTCTGGTAATGTATACTAAGATACTGATAAGGATATGGCAAACTAACACTGGCAGTTGAATATATGGGATATTTTATATTGAAAAGATGGGACCAAAAGAATATACATTTCCTCAGTTTATCCATATCAAAATTTTGACTCATCTAAAAAGTACATTGCTGATAAAAACATCTCACATTAAATTGCTCCTAGCACTGAAATGTATTTCTGGTTTTCACTACCCTTGACACTTGAACATGTAACCTTCAATAATCAAATAAAACCCCCATCGGCATGATGGCCATGTAATGTTTAAAATGCAAAATGAAGTAGGAAGGAGAGGAATTAGCAAGGAATAAAATTTTTAGATATAACACACGGACTCTAAATAATATAGAAACGTAAG